AAAAAAAAAAAAAAAAAGGAAGAAGAAGAAGAGGCAGATGGCCAATCCGGCAACCAGGTCCTAACCGTGCAAGCCCACACCCACGCGGGAAACAAGCGCGTAGTTGTTCGAATATAATATATGGGCGCGAAGAATGCTATCATCTTCACCCGAATACAACATAATAACCTCATTATGAATGTATACAAGCTACATTTCCGGCCCTATACAGACGTGATAAAGGTACGTTGTGTTCGGCGGGAAGATGGTAGTACCATGGAACAGTGGACAGAATTCCCTGCATGCACAATTACCTGCAAGTTAGCGCAATTAATCACCATGCATGCAAAGACACGCGCAAGAGAATTAATCATCAGGGGAAGACATCCACAACACAATTAATCATGGGAAGACCTCCACAAGTCCAGACTCCAAGATATTTTCAGACACAGTGACACATAGCAGCTGAAGATGATGATGAAACATGCTCACACACAGTAGCAATTCGCAGCTAAAGGTTATAATGAAGAAAGGCATGCCATTGCTCACCATAGCATGAATCCATGATCCTCCTGCTCGTGATAGTTATCTCTGCGACGATGCTGAAGCCCTTTGCACAGCAATGCCTATTATGGAAGAGAGAGAGAGAGAGAGAGAGAGAGAGAGAGAGAGAGAGAGAGAGAGAGAGAGAGAGAGAGAGAGAGAGAGAGAGAGAGAGAGAGAGTAACAAGGAGTGTAACTGCCAAAGAATGTGAAAAATCGTTTGCACTGAAGGTGAATCCACGCAAATCGCTCTGCCAGATGCAGCATATGAAGACACGCGTCCAGTTTATTTCCGATGATGCCCTCCATAAAGGTCTCGTTTTCATCATCACCCACGCCACAAAGGGATCGCCAGCACATCAACACGTCAGCTTCTCGGTTCAACCAACTTCAACGTGTACCCACCCACCGTGACCCACGAACACAGCCCGCTCGGAATTTCGCACGAAGAGGATGAGCAAGGGTGTCCAAAACAAGCCACCAGCCAGCACCACAGCATCGCGAGGTCCCTAAAGTTCCCACCAAACCCATTACCCCCCTTGCACCGTTATGTAGTTTTCCATTCCCCCCCCCCCCCCCCCCCCCCTCCTTCCCCTCACCATCTCCTTCGCCTGATCTTCCCCTCTAATCTCCACCACCCCTTCGACCCCCCGCCAACCTTCCCCGCCCTCACGGCGTGTTCCCCCTAGGTCACTGCTTTCCCGACGGCGATTTTTTCCCCGTCCCTTCTCCACCTTCGATAACCAACTAGAGCATAGTACTTGTATTAGAACCCTCCGGCACGTACCTAACCGTAATCGCCGTTAGATGCTGCCGACATCGCAGAAGTGTGGCTGCAGCTATGAGCTATGGGATGGGCAGAAAACAGACAGCATACGCCTACAGAAGGGTAAACCTCCGACCCTCATTGGCCCGTCGGGCCAGCCCCAGTCGCCGCATCGGCAGGTCGGCGTAGCATTCCCTCAGACCCCTCAGTCGCCGGGGGTGGTCCAGTGCATCTCCCCGCTTCTCTAACAATGCTTTTGAGAAACGATTTCACGGCAGCGCTGACCACGGCGGCCCCAGACTTGTGCTCGGTTTCGATTTGACGAGTGGACTGGTGTAAGTCGTCCGTCGGTATGTCTCTTGGGGGCCCAAAGTGGCACGCTCCCTGTCTCAGGTAAGAGAAGCAACAAATCATGCACATGGCAAGGATGGGAACTCCAACTCCAATTGCCACGTTTCTTCCGATGTTCTTGCTTTTCGTTCTTGTTGTTGGGTCAGGCGCTTGAGAAGAAAGAGAGACAGACGGAGGTGCAGGGGTCGAGTCGCTGGGATTCGCATCGGGGATATCCGGTGGTGGCGGAGTTGACAGAGGTACAGAGGAATTCAATGAGATGCTGATGAGGAAAATGTGTCCATCATCCACTCCGACGGTGAGGTTCACATTCTGGTCTTTGGCAACAGCCGTCAATCCGGAGATTCCAGTGGGCACGTGCCTGGGGTAGGTCGCTATGGCCGTTGCTCTCCTCGCGCCGGTGCACGGTCGGTCCAACTCGATCCAGAAGATCTGACCGGTCCTCGACTCCGAGACGAACAGATGACGCCCGTCGCCCACCGCAGCGATGTCGCGCAATTCCCCAAAGTGTGCCTCCAAGGCGGCCACGTCAACACTGCTGCTGCTGCTGCTGCTGGGGGCTAGACGTGTGGATGACCGCGATCTGCTGCCGGCGACCAGTGTGGCATTCGGCGAGGAGGGATGGAGCGCCCATACTTCACCAGGAGCAGCCCGATCAATGAAGTACAGACACTGGCCGTCGCTGGTGAAGCTCTGAGGGCCGAAGTAGGGTTTCGAGATGTTGAAGCCCAGATGCGATTCGAATTGCGCTACTTGAGAGAGAGACAGCGTCCGATTGGCAAAGGTGCTGTTGGCATCGAGCGTGACATCGGCAGAGGAGATTGACGTGGGTGGCGTGGTGCTGGCCGACATGAAAAGCCTCGCCATGCCGGGATCCCAGCTCAGCCCCTCCGCAGACTCTATCGGCAACCTCGTGGAAGACCTGGACCCATCTGCGATCCTCAGCGCTGTCAACCATGACGTGCTTGGGTAATCCTGCAGCGACCCGACGAGGAGCAGCTGGGATCGCGACTTGGAAAGCACCATGCCGGAAGGGTAATCCATCAGCCGATAGCAAGAGTAATCGGGGCAGACCGTGGAGTTGGGACGCCGGGATCCGTCCAATTCCGTTGAACTCCACCAATAACTTATCCTGGGGGTGTCCCCGCCTGCCACGTGGAGATTACCCTGATGGACGGAGACCTGGGACTGCATGGCCGTGCGATTGTCGGTATCACATCTCTCCTCGAAAATGAAAAAGAAGACTGCCGCATCGGGATTGAGCACAATGTTGCGCATAAGCGTCGAGCACGTCGTATCCGGACTATTCAGGAGTGGAGTAAAAGAAGAGCGATGCTCGACCAGCATCTTGCAGGTTGGTTGCCCGAGGAGAACCATCTGGCTGTAGGTCCACCGAGCGCAAGGGTCGTCCGCTGTTTGCTGTAGCACTCTCTCTGTCTCTCTCTCCCTGGAGCGCGGATGCGTGAGGTGTTGTCCCGATCCCGATGTCGACTTGTCCAGTCCCGTTCTCGGCGACGAAGAAGACGAAGAAGACGAGGAAGGCGATGGCAATGGCACCGCAAACTTGCAGACGAGCCAGAGACAAACAACCATCGCTGCAGCGATGGCTGCCTTCAAGTTGAACGATGGCCATCGTCCAGTGCTATGGAACGGAGAGACTTCTTGTCGAGTGTGACACCGCTCACCTTCCCGCCCAAGTCTTCGTCGATAATGAGCGCTCGCCATCATGAACGCCATTGAAAACCTCAACCGAAAAAAGGTAAAGAAAAGAAACCCACGAAGAACAAGCAGCGGTTATGCCGGCGGGCCGCGGCGGCTGCTTCCTCAAGTTGCTATGGCGGCGGCTATACGGATGGACTTAATAAATTACAAGATTAGACCGGCAGCAGATTAGAAAGGGGG